GATGGTCACGCCGCAATCCCTTCTCCTCCATTCTCCTCTCGGGATCTTGGGCACGCACGCACACGCGCCCGGCGTGAGTTTTAAGCCATCGGGTCCGGGACGCGAACCGTGGTTGACTACGTGGGAGTCCAGCGACACAGCCATTATGCTAACTGCTGGTTCCCTGTTCTACTTTTCATGTATGGTTTTTCCTTCCATTCCCTTACAGGTCACCCAGCCCTGGATAGCCAGAGATTATTCCAATTCAAAGAAAGGAGTTGGTAGTTGGGGACCTTGGCATGTGTGCTTTTACCCAGAAAAAAAAGCAGGGTAAGATCATTTGAGGCAGAAGAAGCAGATAGGACCAGCAGAGCTGGGTGGAGTGATAGGGTTGGGGATGTGTTGATGTCAAATTGTCAAGGATCTTGAATGTCATGGGGGTCTTGTACTTGAGAACATGGGGTCAGCCTCAGATTAACCCGTGTAACTCTCAGAGCTCAGAGATACTTCATGGGTAGTCCCAGCACCGTGTAGCTTCCCAGAGTAAAAGCCATTCCAGTGTTTATTGAAGACTGTTGAAAATCCAAGGATTTTCATTTCTTTGCTTTCCCTATCTTTATCCTCTTTCCAGGCTTAATAAGAAAATTCCCTAAATCAAGCCTAAGGTCCTCCCTCTCCACTCTCTTCTTCCTTATCTCTCCTCTCCCTTCTCTGTCGCCTTCCTTCCTTTTTAGGCTGGTCTTGTAGGAAACTGGTGCTTCTGTTGCTAATGGCAGTTCATCAGACTAGTCTTTTCCCTTGTAAGGCTGTAATTCTTGGCACTTGTTGGCCTCATTTTCCACAACCCAAAGCTCATGGGACAAAGTTGACAAAGTTGAGCACTTCCAGGATATTTGTGAAGAGGCAAGAAACCACCATTACTGAGCCAGCAGGTGTCACGGTGGTTAAGTCACCAGACTTCAATGTGGCCAACTGTGATTTCGATCCCAGACCTGGCGCCTTGCTTTCTCACTTTCTCTCTCTCTCTCTCTCTCATGAGCGCACATGTTACCCTATAACAAATTAAAAAATGATAGTGATGGATAAAATTAAATAATCCTTAGGGGGGAAAATTCTCCCTGTCTAAGACCTTTGAATAACTATAGCAGACAGGTGAGAACCTTTGGACAAAAATAAGTTACAAAGCTGTCATAATAATCTAGTAAGAGCTATTAAGTGTCCAAACTAAGGCTGTGACCATGGGGATAAAGAAGATAGAACCAGCATGCCATGAGGTCTAATTATATTGAGCATTAAGGGTAAGACTCAGCCTTCGAGGACTCGAATTTCTAGTTTAGCCAAATCAATTGATGAGCTTTTAAATGAAATGTGTGATATAGTAACAGTGAAGAAAAAGACAATGTATTTGAGTTGCTGGCAGGAAATTCAAGATTAGTACCCAGTTGGCTGTGACATCTAGATGTAGCTTAGGTGGGAGGTTGAGCTTCTAAAATAGGGATGGAGAGTTTCCTCTTTTTTAAAATTTTTTTATTTTTAAATAATGATTGAATTTTATTCATTTATTTTAATTTGACCAGAGAGACACATGCAGAGAGAGAGAGGGAAAGTGAGAAAGCAAGCCACCAGGTTCAGGACCTGAACCATGGTCAGCCATGTGGGAGTGTCCAGCACCTTAACCACTACACCACCTGCTGGTCCCGCGTTTCCTCTCTCTTTTAGATGGTGAATGAGGTCATGAGAAGAGGTAAGTTTACCTGGGGAAAACAGGTAGCAATTATATTTGGCTTGTTATGTTGAAATACTCATCTAGTTAGATTCTGGATGTGCTGGATACTGTCCTAAACATTTTCTATACATTCTCTCACTCTGAAGAATAGGCTTATTTGGGTCCCCACCATACTGATGAGAAACTTTGTTTTAAAGAGATGTTTGCTATCGGGTGCTTGTGCTCACCAGTGAGACAAGAGACACAAAGTGAGAAATCACCCCCCAGGTGGATGGCCACGCCGCAATCCCTTCTCCATTTTCTTCTTGGGATTTGGGCACGCACATACATGCGCCCAGTGTGTTTCAAGCCACCAGGTCCAGGACTAGAACTGTTCGACCACATGAGAGTCCCGCACCTTAACCAGTACACTACCTGTTGGCCCAATGAAGAACTTCTAAGAAGGTATCTTGCTAGGGCCCACAGCTGATAGGTGGCAGAACCCAACTCTGAATTCAGGATTACCAGTGCAGTGGATCTTTCCTTTGCCACAGGCTCCAAGAATCACATGAAGAAAATTATGGATCCTGTCTGACAGGCGTAAGTATGC